GTCCCCCCCGCGCGCCCCTTCCTGGCCTTCGCGGGCCCCGCCGCGCTGCGGGCTTCACTCCCAGGGGCGTGGGGCTCGGCGGAGTTCTGTCGCGCACCCCGAGTCCTCGCCGCTCGGGGGGCGCCCGGAGCCGAGTCTGGGACCTCGCTGACCCCACAAGGCCCACGCCCGCCCTCACACCCGGGGGCGTAACGTGTACGGGGCGCCGTGAGGGTGAGTGCGGGTGGCTGGGGGCTGCAGGGCAGTTACCGCCTTACTTATTTCCTTGATTCATTACAAAGGAAAAGAGGAGACCAAATAAGTTTACAATTAAAATTCAGTTATTACAATTCATTTTAGAACACCCTTTATACGTAATTTTTACAGACATTTGATATATATAAGTTGAATTTCATGACATTAACGTCGTTGCATCCTTTTTAAAAGAGTGAAATGTCTCTTGGCTGTAACTTTCTCTCTCTCTCTCTCTGTCTCAGGGTGTCCCAAAAACAGGCATAGGCATTAACAGCTGAGAGCTCAGTTGATGTTTCTTTCCTTTCAGCCAGACTAAGCTTTGAGCAGAGGAAATTCACCCACTAGACTTTTTTAATGGGGATACATAAAAGACAAAGTTTACGGTACAAAACCGGCAACAGTTGGCGAATTCAGAGCGTACAAATGCCGAATGAAATGATTCTTGATGTTTGCAATTCCGTTGCTTTGCGTTATCCGCAGTGCCTGGCCCAGAAGGGTCGTCGGTTTGAAAACAGGCGTTGACAAAAAAAGTTATTCATTTCTGTAGCTACTTTTAATTTTTGAAAATGAACTGCCACTGACTTTATAATCATTCAAAGTGTGTATACATTTTGGGAGGACACTGTATATCCACACACATGTATGTCAATATATATATTTTTGGACTTGAGATGAGGAGTGAGTTAATCATCCTCAATTCTTGACACATTATCATCAATATAAAGTGTATGTGATAACTGTGGTCTGAGGACCCTTTTATGCTCTGCAATATGTGCTCTCCATGCCCACCTCCTCCATTACCCCATTTTTCTTTCCAGTAAACAATTTTAAACCATATTCTACCAGATAGCTTTGTTTTAATTAAGTGCAGCTATTTATCAATAATTAAAGGAAAATGCTGTTTCTGGTGAGTATGACTGTTACCTTTGTATATTTGTTTTTTTTGGCCTTGTTAATATTTTTTGGTTAATCCTCACCTGAGGATATTTTTCCATTGATTTTTAGAGAGTGGGAGGCAGAAGGAGGGAGAAAAAGAAAGAGAGAGAAACATCAGTGTGAGAGAGACACATCAGTTGGTCTCCTCGCACACACACAATTGAATCTGCAAGCCAGGTACATGCCCTCAACAGGGAATCGAACCCGCAATTCTTTGGTTCACGGGGCTCTAACCACTGAGCCACACCGGCCAGGGCCCTGTTAGTATTTTTATCTAATGCCCCAGTTTCAATTAGTGGTATACTCTGAGCCTGTGATTCAGTACTAACAACATGGCAACTGTGTTAACTGTTTCTTGCTTCACATTTCTAATAGACAGGACCTGTTTACAGACTGTAATACTGCGCCCACTTTAATGATTGCTTCTTTCTCAATTTTCTCTTTCCCACATTACAGTCAAACACATTATTAGCATAAAGAGAAATATCACTGGCACCTAGCCTAAGCCATCTGGTGACCAGCATTTTGACTTAAATTCTAAATACATTTATACATGCCATTTATCCTACTCCCATGGCTAAGTCGGAAAGGTGAAATGCCAGCAGATTTCATAGAAGAAAATAAAAGCAATAGAAGCAGTGAATGGTTCCCACAAGAAAGGAGAAGTAACGGGAATTTAGTGTCACTCCCCCTACATTGTTGACATTTTTGAAAGATTGAGCCAAAACTGAAGTGGAAGTTAAAAGGATTAGACTAATTATTGAATGCGAAATCCCTTTTGTAACTGTTTTTGCACGGTATCAAGAAGTTTATACAAGAAATGGGCATGTAAGTGGACCAGTTGTTCAGCAGAAAGCATTGGATTTTTTGCCAACCTTGGGCCTGATGAGAATCAAGCAACTGTGTGCTGGCTGAACAAATTTTAGGCATGTTAGAGAATTGTTTCAGAAGTTGTCTAGTGAAAAAAAGCACTGTTCCAGTAGAGAAATTTAGTAACTTGCATGCAAAAGAAATTTAAAAAGCAGTTGCTAGTTACAGCTTGAATGATGTTTTAAATGCTGATTTAAGTTTTACAAGTTGTTACCTTATATACTTCATGCCCTAGGTGGACTTTACAAAAGGAGGTAAACAGATTGATGATTGCTCTGTTCTGCTATAATGCATCCTGGACCAAAAAGATGAGACCGCTTGTCACTGCCAAGTCAGTTAACCCTCAGGGCTTCAGAAATCTTCACCTACTCCCCTGTGATGACCAAGCTAATATGCATGCCCGAAGAACGAGAGAGAGATTTATTTAATGAATGGCTGAGAAAGGTTGGCAAGAGAATGAAAGGAGCAAAATGCAGTATCCCCTAGCTGATAACTGGTTGCTCTGCTCACAACATTCTCCTATGCTTGGATCATGCGTGTCTTGAGTTTTTTCCCGTTGAACTGCACAGCCATTCTGTAGCCATCCGATTAGGGTGTAATTTGTATGGTGAGAGCTCACTGTGGAAACAACTCTCCTAAATGTAGATGATGAAGGGAAAATAGAAACTTTTGGGAAATGAAGGAAGCCATTGGCATGATTGCTGAGACCTGGTGGTCGATAGAGCAGTCCACAGTATTGAAATGGTAGCAGAAAACAGGCATGATTCCTATGGAATCCCCTAAGGTCACATTGGAAGAAGACTGCAAACCAAACGTGGTATTTGAACTAGTCTGGTACTCAAGTGCTATTGTCACTGGTCTCCCAAATCAGTTTGATTTCGAAGACTGTGGCTACAGATACCAATTTAACTATTTCCCAAGATTTAGCAAATCCTAAAATTGCTGCAGGAATGATAACATGTCAAAATGGAACCAGAAAGTGATGATGATGATGACAAAGACAGTGATAACCATAACATCCAAGGGGAACAAGTGATGGCACAGCCAACAGTGAACACTTCAGAAGTCCTTGCAAGTGAAGAAGTGTTGACAATCCTTTCCCTTAAAGCAGATGTTCCTGAGGAGGTGTTTACCCAATTAAGTGGGATAGATAAGTATTTAGTGACCACTGCAACAAATACTTTTGAAAAAACTGAAGTGCTATAATAAAGTGGCAAAAATACTGCTTTTATTAGGTCTATAAAATGGAAGACTTAATATTTGTATAAACAAAGCCCCCGGGAGTGTTTAAATGTGAGTGTTTGGCGCTTATTTCTTAACATTTACTGCATGCTAGGGTTGCAGAATTTCCTACCCCCTTACCCCCCAAATTTTATTTTAGTGTCACTAATTTCAGCCTTTCTTTGGAAGGTTTCTTTTCCTACCACCTCCCTTCCAAACCTCCCCTCTCCCCCACCATTAGGTGGCAGGAGTGATAACAATAAGCCTTTGCCTAATGTACCTAGAAGAGAAAATTATTCACAAAATGTTACCACTCCAGCAGGGAGAACCAGAAGCCAAAGGACACTTAGATTTAATAGGGTAGATTTAGAGTAATTAAGAAAGAAGAGGATATGCATGTGAAGAAGACAGCAGAGCAGTCCTTCCCAGAGAGTCGCTGTAGGCAAAGGGGGAGTGAGGGCAGACAGCTGCCTGCTTACCCTTACTGCTGGGTAGTAGTGCTTGGGCCAGTGGAGGAAGGGGAGGAGTGAGGGGAAATGTGACACGGGTGAAGCTGTAGGAGAAACAGCAAAGAAATCCTCGTGCTTCGCTCAGACTGGTGTCCTGAAAGGGCTGTTGGAAGGTGAGGAAGAGAAAGTGGGAGGAAACAGAGAAGGCCGTAGATAACCCGCTGGCCACTCCTAACCTAGCACCTCCTTCATATTACAAGATACAATGTGACTCAGACCAACCAATGATTCTCCAGGCTTCCATAAGTAGGAAAACAACTTTTGCCCACCTCACTGGTTGGTTCTGAGAGATGAAAAATAAAATAACCATTTTGCCAAACAAAACTAAAAGCACCATTTGCAAAGTATGTGTTATACAAAGCAAACAATTGACAATCACTTTTGGTATATATCTGGACTGGAACGCAAAAAAATTAGTGTAGTTTTTTTAAAGAGCATTATCAAAAAACAATCACAAAGGAAAAAATCTCATATTTTGTTTTTAGGTAATAAATCACTATCAGTCAAGATGTCTTCAGCACCTGAGCCACCAGCCTTTAAAAAGGAACCACCCAAAGAGAAAGACTTCCCAAACCCAGGGCTTAGAGGTGTCCGCACAACAACTTTATTTCGAGCTGTGAACCCGGAGCTCTTCATTAAACCTGTAAGAAATACACACAGAAGCTTTATGTTTAATTTAACTAGGCTCTCAGAAATAGAAAGTTCTTATTTTCCTGTGACATTTAATTTTATCATGGAAATTTGTATTGACTATTAAGATCTCTGTGAATAAATGCAGGTGGGAGGAAATCTTAAATGCTGTTTCATTAAATACACATATAAAATGAATTATTTTAAGGACATTTGAGAATTTTAATGGAAAATAGTTTCACTTTCATGGATCAACTCAGATTTGTATTTAAAATTTTAATAGCTGTAGTAATTTGAAGGACATTTTTAATGTTTTATCAGGTACTATTAAGTAAATGAGACCTTCCAGTGAAACAAAGCTAAATGAAAATCTGATCATTATTATAGTCTACAATTCCAGCTTTTATTAATGTTTTTACCTAAGGCATATTGCAAACATTGGTGAAAAATTTCAAAACATACATTTGTACACTGTTAGGGAGTCAGCTAATCATTTATATTCTTGATGCAAATTATTGATTATATTTGATGTGATAAATTTTACTTTTAAATAGATGTAAATTTTATTATTATTTTATAACCCTCACCCAAGGATATGTATATTGATTTTTTTTTTTAAATATATCTTTATTGATTTCAGAGAAAGGAAAGGAGAGGGAGAGAGAGATAGAAGCATCAATGATGAGAGAGTCATTGATAGAGCCCACAGCCCGGGCATGTGCCCTGACCAGGAATGGAACCTCGATCGCCTGGATCCCAGGTCGACGCTCAACCGCTGAGCCACGCCTGGCTGAGCTGATTTTTTTTTAAAGAGAGAGGAAGGGGGAGAGAGAAACATTGGTTGCCTCCCATACACACCCCAACCCGATATCGAGCCCATAACCTAGGTATGTGTCCTGACTGGGAATCGAACCCACAACCTTGTTCCAACTAACAATGTTCCAACTAACTGAGCTACACAGCTAGGGCTATAAATTTTATTGTTAAATAAATGTTAGTTAAGTCAAATTATTATAAAATATATTTAAATGTATTGAATTTGATTAGAATTTTAACATACTTGCCAATGTAAACTTTTTTACAGTTAAATAGATCAATTTAACAATCAAATCATTAAATCAAGGTAGAATGTTTTAAAAACTTTGAACTAATGTGTTTTTTTAATTGCCAAATGCATTTTAAGAATTGCAGATTTAAACTGCTCTGAGTTTCTGGCTTTTCTTAGATGTCCAAGTGAAAAAGTTTGACCTTTATTCTTTTGATTAAGATTTGAAACAGTGGTAAACAGCAGGTATGGTGACAGAAGCAGAATACAAATTGAAATGTGTATCACAGCTCTGCTCTCACATTGACCTAAGAATGCCCATTTGTTGAGTGTGAACACTCAAAAAGGAGTGTCTGAGCTGAGTAATAAAGATAAACACTTCTGTGGAGTTGTGAACATCTTTCCTACATTTAAAAACTTTTTTAAAATTCAAAGCTAATCCCTTTGCCTCTTAGGGTCTTGGATTTTCCAGCAGAAAATCACGGTTATTATAACAGCATTGTATCTGTTCCAGTCACTGAATTTCTTGAGGCGATAGAGCACAGTCCCAGAGAAGAGTATATACATTGCCATTTTTGCTGTACTTAACGTATAATATAAGAAGCTTTTTGTCAGTTGTTCATGAACTCAGGAGAGAAGAATTGCATGTATTCTTCATTCTTCACTTCCTAATAAAATTCACTAATTTAAGGAAGTTAAGCAACTTCTCCATGTCACACAGATAGTACTGAAAACTTGAGCACTGAACCAATTTCTGTGTCTCTTGTTTCCTCTGCCCCTTTCCCAGCCATCACCTTCCTGAAGGTGGAAGTCTGAGATGTCCAGAAGGAAGATTGGAGAGGAGGAGGAATCTCTAAATTACCAGGAGTTGAGCTAATTAAATAAAGAACTAGATAAGTTATAATTGACAATATCATAGGAATGCTAGTGTGGTAATAAAGACTTGGTTTGTCAAGAGGAAAACGCAACAGATATTTGGGTCTCCTCAAATTGCTAGTCTTAATGAGGCTTTGTAATTTTTTTTCTTTGACAGAACAAACCTGTAATGGCTTTTGGATTGATAACCCTTTCGCTGTGCGTGGCTTACATTGGTTATCTGCACGCGACACAAGAGAATAAAAACGACCTCTATGAGGCTATTGATGGTGAGGGACACAGTTATATGAGAAGGAAAACATCTAAATGGGATTAATAGTCCTGGCTACTATGGATGGAGCTAAATAAGGGCTCTGGAACTGTCAAATGATGGACTTCATAATGGCACAATGTCATGTTTCTTGTACAGTTGTGACCAGACCACTATAGTAAATTTTTCTTTTCAGAGCTGCAGCTGTGATCTTACTCGTTCCCTCAGAAAGCTTCTCAATGTATTTTTAAAATTAAAACCTCTTATGAAAGTGCTATGAGAATGGAAGTTGTTTTTGTTCATTATTAAGTTCTGTATAATGAAACTACCCAGTGTTGTTAAATTTGCATGGTATTTTTAATATTTTAAGGTGAATTGTGCATTTGCAATTATTGCAAGGGTTTAGCTTTGTTTTGCTATTTGCAAAGGAAATGTTTATTTCCTACAAGGTCTAGAACCTATATTTGCGGAAAAAAAGAAATAATTTTAAATTATTATAAAGCCTGCAGTTAATTTTAAAGACAAATAATTTTTACAGTTCATGTATTTTGGTTTTCCATTTCAGCTATTTTTGGTCCAGAATTTTATTTTATTTGAAAAGATACTCCCACTCAACTACTAAAACCAAGATTTAAATGAGCGAATAACCCAAAGTAATTGGAGTGGTTTTTTTTGAGAGAAAATGTATGTTATAATAAGGTATGATGTTTTTATTTGACTACAACTGTTATCTATTTTAGTTTTTGTAAATTAATGTTACAATTATATGATAAGCATAAGACCAAACATCCTTATAGTTATTTAAAAACTAGAACTGCTCAGTAGATAAGACCTCCTTACTGTCCTGGGTTTACCTTGTATCATTTAAATCTTTCTGACAGTGGTTCTGGACCTGTTTTATTTCTAGATATTTACCCCATTCTCCAAATCATTGTAATTAGGGCTCAGTAATAAATCTCATTTCTGAAATTTTGTTTCATTTATTATTACAAAGTAATAATAACTGCACAAGCAAAGTTTATCATCATAATGTAAATTTTTAATTTCCAGAACTTTATTGTGGTTTTGTAAAGATACATGAAAATGCAGTTATGTCTGATTTGTAGATATTAAAGAGCTTAGCTAATTGAGTTACCTATATGCAACTAAATTAAATCTTTACTACTGAGCCCTAAACATTTTTTGCTGTGTCTCTATATACAGTACACTTTATATAGTTTAAAACACACTGAGGTGCTATAAAATGCCTTTGAATTGTTTGGGGGTTTTTCAGTCCTTACCCCAGGATATTTTTTAAGAGAGTGGAAGGGAAGGAGGGGGGTAGAGAGAGGGAGAAAGAGAGAAAAGCATTGATGTAAGAGAAACACATCCATTGGTTGCCTCCTGTGCACTCCCGGCTGGGGCCTGGGGAATCGAATCTGCAACCCAGGTATGTGCCCTTAACTGGGAATTGAACCCCTGACCCTTCGGTGTGCAGGCCAACGCTCTAATCACTGAGCAACAGCAGCCAGGGCAAAATGCCTTTTAATTTAAAGTATTATCTTTTTCTTTGATTTCCCTGTGGACTTTGGTTATTAATGAACTTGAATTCTGTTTTCAACTTATGCATTTAGTGTCACATTATCATCTTTTAGAATTCTAGTATTCAACAAAGTAAGTTGATATTTGGTGGGGGAGATATTAGTTAGGTGGACTATTGAGAGATTATCACAGCACAGAAGGATAGCAGGAACTGCACAGAGTGCAGCCTTAAGCGGTGTGACGTGTGCATGAATGAACCAGGGTAGCAGTAGATTTGGTGAGGCACACGGCTATGAAAGGAAAACAGTGCGAGGGAAAAATCACATTGAATTTGAGGAACAAGTACCTAACTAGGATACTTTTTAACAGGGTAGTTATATTTATAGCACAGTCTTTGTGTATGTAGAGTGTCAAGGACTGCCTGGCTGTGTGTCCATGTTTTCATTCATTCTCTAAGGGAAAATGCCACTTTGACAAAGTCAGTTGTGTCTAAGAAGGGGATAATCAGGGCAAGATATTGACAACATTTTGTAGTGTGGGTTCAAGTAGTTAAAGGATTGTCTTTTAATGTGGGAATCTGGCAGAGATTGGGCAAAACTCAGTAACAGATTAGGTCCTGAAGCAAGTCTTGATAAGTAGACTATTGATAAGTGGCAAGTGACCTTTTTGCTCAGGGAGTCAATCTGTTCTGATAGAAGAGCTATTTGCCCAGAGGAGCAAGCTGTTCAATCCATAAATTGGTTTTCAAGAATTTCCTGAAGCAAGCAGTAAAATTACTTATTGGTTTATAGACTTATCTTTCATAGGGTGTCCAATCTGCCCTAGTCTGTCAGGCCCCGGGGGGTTCTTGGCATACAGGACTTTCCATTTTAAAACAAGGACAACACATTATTTAACTATGTAAATTATTTAACTGTGTGATTTCAAAAACCAGGCTTAGGAGTTCTGCATGCTGACTTAATGAAAAGTAATTTTTCCTTTAAAATACTGTGATATTTTCCACTTTTATTGCCATGGGATCAAAACCACATTTATAGGTAATCTGGAAAAAAATTACACTCCCTTCTTTGCTGGCCTAAAGGGACTCAATCCTTTAAGTAAACCATTTAAAAGAAAGTGTGGTGGGCTGAATAATGCTTCCATTCCCCTCCCCACCTCCAAAGATGTCCCTTTCTTCGTCCCTGGAACCTGGAACCTTATATGGCAAAAGGGACCTCGCATATCATTAAGTTAAGGATTTCGAGATGTGGAAATTATTCTTTATTACCTGGGTCGGCCAGATACAATCACAAAGGTCCTTATAAGAGGGAAGCAGAAGATCAGAGGAAGAAAAGATGTCACCATGCAAACGGGAAAAAAGACTATATGATGCAAGGCCATGAGCCAAGGAATGCGGGTAGCCTGTAGAAGCTGGGAAAGACAAGGAAACATTCTCCCCTAAAGCCCTGCTGACACCTTAGTTTTAGGCCCATAAGACTCATTTTAGACTTCTGACCTCTAGAGCTGCAAGAGGATAAATTTGTGTTGTTTTAAACCACTAAATATGTGGTAATTTTTTACAGCAGCAATAAGAAACTAATACAGAAAGTATTTGGGAAATGAATGGCTGTACCATGCTACCCTTTTGTCATTTCTAGTTGCTTTTATGAGCAAAGCTTGTCTTACCTAGCAACAGTTGCTAAGTAAGTTAACAATTTAATGCTAGTGTCTAGGAAGGAGCAGCTGCATAAATCTTCCCAACCTTACATGCAGAGGCTTTCAGTAACATTCTTTAACATTAGGTGCATAACCACTACCTAATCATGCTGAATCATTTAATCCTTACCAGCCTCTAGCACTGTCCTAAACCTTGAACCTCTCTAAACATCTAGCTTTTCTCAAAACTACTTTTTATGCTCTTAAGAGTATTTTAACTGTACATAGTAAAAGACATCTTGAATTTAATTATGATCAGGAATTCGAATTACTCAGACTTTGTTTGCTGTGCTGTTTGTAATAAAATAATTCCACCAGCCCCTTTAGGGGAAATCTTCAAACAGATCCATGAATACAGGCCATTTAAGACTCGCTTTTACACCCACAAAGATATACTGGGTAAGTGACTTTGCTGTTTTGTTCTAATGTTTCATAGCATTGTATGTCTTTCTTCCTGTTATATAGACTTTTATCAGCTTCCCTGATCAAAGTTGCTTGTCCTACAGGGGTTTCTGTCATGAGAACAGGGGTTGAAATCCAGCTTCTCCACTTACCATTTGTGTGCCTTAGACAGGATCCTTAGCCTCTCAGTCTGCAAACTTACATGTAAATAAGAATGTTAATATCTTGCAGGTTTATTATTAGGCTTTAAAGAAATACAGGGTTGGGCAAAAGTAGGTTTATAGTTGTTAGTACATAAAACAGAGTTTATTCTTATATTTTATTACTTATTGTATTATTTTCCATATGAACAACTATAAACCCACTTTGCCCCACCTTGTATTTGTGCCTCTTATAAAGCCTGGCACATAGTAGTAAGTGGGAGTTCTTTATGTGCTTGCCCACACTTTGGCACCTTCTATAAACATAGGAGAGGAAATATCCCTAACACCTTAACAAGTAGGTAAAAGAAGCTCTGTGTTAGTAGCTAGTGACGTAAAAGTAGATATATAGAGATAACATGAGAACATTTACTATATATACACTTGTAATAAGTAAATCAAAGTGTAATTAGCTGGTTTCCTTCTTTTCCTGTCCCCATCAGAGTTTTCAGTCTGACTTTGAGCCTTAGAAGTATTTTCCTAAAGACTCAAAATACTCCTCTGATCTTTTTTCCCTTTAACATGGTAAACTAGTAGTGATTTAATTTCATTCCTGATTTTTGCAGATATAAAAGCTAGAGAATGGATGGTGTTTTGAAAAAAACTAAAATGTAGGGGGAGATCAAATTGAATCATCCTCTAAAAATATCAATACCAAAGCTGATTTTAACTTTAGTAAATGTTTGATATGACTTATTAACTATAATCTCTAAAATGATTTGATTTTTTACACCCAGGACAGTGGATATCCATTCTTAGATAAGCTTTTATTGATTGATTTCTTATACCTTCTAGGATATCTGAATCCAAACATTAAGTGGATAAATTAAATCTAGCTAGTTAGAAATTAATCTTTTATAGTGAATGATCTGTATTTGTCATTGACTATTTTAAAGCCAAAGAGTCAATATTCTCTGTTCTTTATAAGTAAATTCAAAGGCATGTTGAAATGTCTGTATAAATGCTAATGAGTGTCACATAGGGCAGTAGTTCTTAAGCCAACAGTGTACTACAGAACTTTTAAAAATTTTGTTTTTACTGTGAATATCCAAACATAGACTCATTGGATTTAATACTAATCTAACACAGACCCACTAAATTAGAACCTTTAGAATCAGGCCTCAGCATGTGTTGTTTTTATTTTTTTAATTTTATTTATTTACTGNCTTATAAAGCCTGGCACATAGTAGTAAGTGGGAGTTCTTTATGTGCTTGCCCACACTTTGGCACCTTCTATAAACATAGGAGAGGAAATATCCCTAACACCTTAACAAGTAGGTAAAAGAAGCTCTGTGTTAGTAGCTAGTGACGTAAAAGTAGATATATAGAGATAACATGAGAACATTTACTATATATACACTTGTAATAAGTAAATCAAAGTGTAATTAGCTGGTTTCCTTCTTTTCCTGTCCCCATCAGAGTTTTCAGTCTGACTTTGAGCCTTAGAAGTATTTTCCTAAAGACTCAAAATACTCCTCTGATCTTTTTTCCCTTTAACATGGTAAACTAGTAGTGATTTAATTTCATTCCTGATTTTTGCAGATATAAAAGCTAGAGAATGGATGGTGTTTTGAAAAAAACTAAAATGTAGGGGGAGATCAAATTGAATCATCCTCTAAAAATATCAATACCAAAGCTGATTTTAACTTTAGTAAATGTTTGATATGACTTATTAACTATAATCTCTAAAATGATTTGATTTTTTACACCCAGGACAGTGGATATCCATTCTTAGATAAGCTTTTATTGATTGATTTCTTATACCTTCTAGGATATCTGAATCCAAACATTAAGTGGATAAATTAAATCTAGCTAGTTAGAAATTAATCTTTTATAGTGAATGATCTGTATTTGTCATTGACTATTTTAAAGCCAAAGAGTCAATATTCTCTGTTCTTTATAAGTAAATTCAAAGGCATGTTGAAATGTCTGTATAAATGCTAATGAGTGTCACATAGGGCAGTAGTTCTTAAGCCAACAGTGTACTACAGAACTTTTAAAAATTTTGTTTTTACTGTGAATATCCAAACATAGACTCATTGGATTTAATACTAATCTAACACAGACCCACTAAATTAGAACCTTTAGAATCAGGCCTCAGCATGTGTTGTTTTTATTTTTTTAATTTTATTTATTTACTGATTTTATTTTATTTTAAATATATCTTTATTGATTTCAGAGAGAGGAAAGGAGAGGGAGAGAGAGAGATAGAAACATCATGATGAGAGAGTCATTGATCGACTGCAGCCCGCAACCCGGGCATGTGCCCTGACCGGGAATTGAACCCCGATTGCCTGGATCCTAGGTCGATGCTCAACCGCTGAGCCACGCCCGGCTGGGCTATTTACTGATTTTAAAGAGGGGGGGGGAGAGAAAGAGATATAGAGAAACATTAATTTGTTCCATTTATTTATGCATTCATTGGTTGCTTCATGTATGTGCCCTGATGAGGTTGAACTCACAACCTTGGCATATTGGGGTGAAGCTCTAACCAAATGAGTTACCCAGCTAGGGCCTATTTTTAAAAAATACTTTTACATATTTTAATAGCTTTTTATTTGGAAATAGTTTAAGACTTACAAGTTTTAAAGATAGACTAGAGAGTTCCCATATACGCCTTGTCCAGATTCTCATTGATATCTTACATAACGCTAGTACATTGTCAAAACCAGGAAATTGGTATTGGAACAATACAATTAACTCAGGCACAGGCCTTACATGCACTTCCCCAGCCCCTGGTATATAGTTTCATGAAATTTATCATGTAGCTCTCCTGAAATGAGAAGAAGTTCTTGAGAGAAATGGGTTCTGTTACCAGAGGGAGAGAAGAAATGTTGGGCTGATAAACACGAGACCGCAATGTCTTAATCTGTGCTCATTGCCAAGCTAGGCATGATCAGAGATAACACTTTAGTATAAGATGTACTTTGTTGCCCTGGTTGGTATGGCTCAGTGGTTGGAGCGTTGTCTCAGGCATTGAAGGGTCGTGGGTTCAGTTCCTAGTCAGGGCGTGTGCATGAGGCAACTGATGTTTCCCTCTTTCTCCCTCTCCCTTCCTCTTTCTCTGGAATCAATGGAAAAAATGTCCTTGGGTGAGGATTTAAAAAAACATATATATGTGTGTTTTATAATTTTAGGAAGTTAATCATCAAGACCTAATCACATGAAAAGTGAATAATTCAACAAATCTTAAATGTGAGAAATGAATGGAATAAAGAATAAATGCTATAGTAGTTTGGATTGGAGAGAAAGATCGCTGTGTGTGATTTCAACACTTATAGGGCTTGTCATCCTCATACAGGTCATGGGTGACCTGTGACAACACACTTTGGTAGAAGATGAAGAAAACCCTGTGCCCAGCTCAGTGAGCTCAGGGCTGGGTTCCAGGTCCGACTCTGTCCCTAGCTGTCTGATACTGTGTGATCCTCTAACCTCTAGGCTTTTATTTCCTTGTTTAGGTAGGGAAGCGACTGTTATGGGAATATTATTATTATTTGTAAATTAAATTAGATCATTGGTGGAGAAGTGCTAAACTACTACCCCTTAACTCACTCCACAACTGAAGTAGCTAAACCCAGGAAAACCTACACACTAAAGAAAGGCACGTAGCATATTAAGTTATTCTGCTACCACTTTTTGGACGGAGGTAACACCAATACCCAGATAGGAGAAGGGAGAGAGGAGCTGGATAATCTTGAATATTCACTTACTGTTCTGCTTTGGGAACACAAAATATGCTCCTTTCTGCCACATTCTTTCCCCGTTGCCCACCATGTGGACTAGAACCACATCACTGCATCCAGGCCTAGCGGTGCTGTGCATTCCCTCCTAATCAACTAGGAAACAACTCACCACTTTCATTAGTACCTTTAAGGAAAAGATTGACATCTCCTAAAAGGATATATATCTCTTGGGTGACTAATAAATAACTAGATCATAGTAACAAGGCAAGCAGAGAGACATCTGTGGACACTTGTAATTATTTCTTTTCAAATACACAGATATCGGGGCAGATATCTTGAATAAAGAAGAAATATTTCAAGAGGTTGTGCTCAGAGAACGTATTGCAAAAGCAGAAGCTAAAGTGTGGGCTCAGGTAAAAAGTTGTAAATCAATTTAAGTACACCTTCCTTTCACTGGATTTGTTCAAAACAATATAGTCAGGCAGAACTGGTGTTGAATCCTGCCTACCTGTGGGACCTTGGGCAAGTTCTTCAACTCTGTAGTCTTGGCTTCTTCAGATGTCAGAGAGGAGCAATAATACCCACTCTACTGGATGCTTGAGAGAATTCAGTCAAATAGTGTGCCTGGCACACAGTAGATGCTTAGTAAGAAGCAGGCGTCATCAGGAGCTTCATCCCTTCTACGTTGCCCTCTAGGTGTGGATGACTCCTGCTCCCTGTATTCTCATTGGATTAAAACTTTAAAAAACATCCTTGTTGATAATTGTTTATTATTGCTTAATGTCTAATGCGTAGCCTGCCCATTTGTGTAGTGTATAACACATGCCTGTTTTTACAAATACTTCACTATGGCTACTCTCCTTTTTACCTTTCTCCTTGCTCCCCTTCTCTCTACAGCTCTTGATCCCTTGTCCATGTGACTGCTGAGGGTTGTAGGGGTCATTTGAGTGTGTTGGGGCTCACAGTCAGGTTGCAGACACTAAATTTAGAGAAGCAAAATCTCAATCATCCAGCCCCCATTTCTTCCAATCATCAAAAGGACGACATAAATGATTTCCTAAAGAGAATTAATGCTCCATGAGAGCAGGACAAGCCACAGTGCTTAGAATGTTATTTCTCAGTTTCTGTATAAAATAGGAATCATAGCAAAGAGTGTTGGAATTGTCCAGTAGTAGTGCCAGCAAAAGCTTGGTATGAAAGTATGAAAGTCTAAAATGCTCCAGTGCAAAGGGTAAATGATATAAAAATCTTAGTAGTCATCTATCCTTATCAATAGTAATAAAATTTAAATTGATTGTGAATCATTAATTATACGCCCTAGTTCAAGGGAATGCTTTTGTGGGTAATCTTCAATTTGAATATAAGTATGTTAATTAATCAATGGATTCTTTCTTTCAAAGGCTGAGGAACGCCAAAAACAAGCAGTGGAGAAAGCACTTGAAGAAGCAAGTGACAGACATCAGATCAAAATTAAGGTTCTGGAAGAGGAGCATCAAAAACATTTACAGGTTTTTACAGTGGCTTGTTTGTTGTCTTTTTAAAAGTACTTAAGTTAATAAAAAGCTCTGACGAGGGAATAAGTGAAAAACAATAATGTGTGAGATCCAAATAGGTGTTTCCGGAAGCTGGTTGGGAGGCCCAGGATTGCCACAGACAGGGTGCTGAACACTCAGCGGGCTCGGGGGAATCCTTTGGCGTAATGAAACCAAACATTTGCGGGGCTTCAGGGCCGCAAGGAGCCACCCCGCTTGCCTGACCCCTGACCCATCACATCTCTTGCCGCTTGTTCTCTTTCCCTCCCCTTCCTGCCCTTCTTTGAGTCCTTGGACCTTAAAGCACGGTGCACCTTCTTACCTCCGTGTCTTTGCCAGGATTTTTTGCTGGATTTTTAAATCCAGCAATTTAAAGGGACAACACTTTATATTTGTAGGGAGCTCGAGGACCCTGCCCCAATGCTGCAGCGAGGAGATCACACTTTGAGTATCACTCCTCCGATTAGGTTGTGGAGAGACAAAGATAAATGTGATGCCTGTTTCAAGGAGCTCACCTCCTAGTCTTTCTTTAAGTAATTTGATTACATCCCATATAGCCTTTGGGCAGAGTTGATGCACTTAATATTAAAAGACAAGTCCTAAGAATATTTAAAAAGGAAAAGGTAGAGAGAGGATGACCTTTTTAAAATAATTCTCTAGTGTTTGGGAATTTACATTTATAGTGCTGTCTCAGGGATGTTTTTTATATAACAAAGGAGTGATTTATCTAAGAGGGATGTGTAAGGTTACTGCAGCTGTCATAGGCATCAGTACTGCTCAGGGGGTGTCCATGAGCCCCTGCCTGAGAACCTACTCACCTGGGAGCTTAACAGGCAGAGTCCTGGGCCCTACCTGACCTACAGAGTCACTGGCAGTGTTTTGAACCTGCATGATTCTCACATATTAAATTTTGAGATTACCAATAGGTAGAGCAGAAAACCAAGTTCTTTAGAACTAAATACCATTAAAGTACCTGTAGAGACCACTAGGTATTGCTCTAATATGATATAAAGGATTTGGGATAAGTCTCAAATGCTTGATATTAAATAAAATTTCAAGATCTTATCCAATGGAGATAGTATTTTGAAAAAGTGTTTATACTCTCAAATACAATACTATTAAAAAGTAAAAGAGAGGATGGGAGACAAGAGAAAGTGAGAAAATAAGAATTAGAGTAGGAATATAATGAAGTTGGATGAATTTAAAACTTAAAAATATATGTATGCTGTGAGGTCCTGTGTGTTAACACCGACTGGACCTTGAGCTTTGTGGCAGTCAGTGCAGAGGAGAAAATGCCATGAATCACTACATCCATAAGGTAAAAAGAAATCAGGTGCTCAGAGAGGCCCAGATACTCGTATACGCGATGCCTAAGAGAGACTTCTCCTGAGGGAGATGTGTGTTACGTGTCTGTCAAACACCTGTACGGTAAATATGATGGATTTCGTGAGGCCATTTCTTACAATATCTCAAAATTATAATATCTCTTATCTTTCAATGCACTCAAAATGCATTTCAGTAAAAGTAATTTAGAGGACTTCACATTGAATAAGAACACTGTCAAACAGTAGATCCTGGAATTATTTTTGTACCTTTCAATATGTATTCCACATGCCATGTGAGGCAGTAAAGTGATTTTGGTTTTACTAAATTATTACATTAAACAGGGACAGGGTTGAATTCTCTGAAACCAAATTGGGAACCCAGCCAAAATAAAGGGCTGGGATGTCTTTTTTAAATTCTGTGATTCAAATAGAAATGTATTATGATAATACCTCATCTAAGGTTCAACTACTCAACAATCTCAATTACTGAAAATATTCCTGGGAAAACCCAGAAATAGTTTAAAATATCCCCTGAGATGTTAAATGAAGGCCTGTGACTATAAGATACTGAGGTGTATTACCCATAGCAGAACCTCTCTATTTCCCAATCAAATGGAATTTACACTTTCTTGACAACCTGAACTCAACAGACACTATTTGTTTGCTTTACAAATCCAAAATAGATTAAATGCCAGAAACTAGAAATGACTAAACAAGCTCACTGACAGTTAGAACAGGGAGTACAGCAGTACCTGGGTTTTCTAATGTAATCCATTCTGGAAGACCATTTGAGTTCTGAAACGTTCGAAAACCAAGAGCTGAACAGCCGACAACTGGGCCTCAGGATCTTGCCCTTAGTGGAAGCCACGTGGCACATTGTACTTCTGAGGCGTGTTTGAAAACCGTAGCATTTACTCCGGTTTACGGCGTTCGTAAACTGAAATGTTTGTCAACGGGGACGTTCGAAAACCAAGGCACCACTGTATTTAGCCCGGTGGCATGTGAAGAACAAGAAAAATTACAAAAATCAGATATCAAATCTAAAAAAGCAAAGCCGTCTGGGATCATTTATAACAGAGAGAACGAGCCCTATGAACTTGTACAGTGATTAAGTGCAGTATGAAGTATTTAGCCCACTGTCATCATTCATCTCTGGCTCCTAGCCTGGATCATCAAGTAATGTTCAGGTGTGCTCACTGTACTCTTTATGAAGTAAGGTCAATGTTGAAGACACTTAGAAATATTGCCATTCAAAATGTTTTATTATCAAAAAGTTCTGGTGCTTTAATTGACAGAGCATTTCTAAACAGCCAATGTTTTCCCAAAAAAGATTTTGTAAATACATGAACTGAGGCCATTCTGAGGAGATTCTTAAAGTAGATTTCTGTTGTTTTTTTCATTAAAATTTTTTTTCATTGTTGGAGTAGCCAAAGTGAGAAGTTGAAAACTTTCTCTTGAAAAAGAATTCTAACAAATATTTTAATTGTTGGAGCATTGTTTTCTAAAAAAGCTAAAGTGATTTCAGTTTTTCTTGAAACGGGAGGAGGGGCAGGCAGGGAGGAGAGAGCTCACTGTCCTATCTTATAAGACTACAGGATTTTTGGAATGAAAATAATTGGATGAATCTCTTGAAAAACACTAGCATCACAGCCAGCAATGCAGCGAGAAGCTGGCACTGAGAATCCTGGTTTCTCTTCCTAGTTCTCCCACTGACTCATTATGTGAAGTAACTTAATTTCTTTACATTCTCTCATTACACCAATAAAGATTAACATTTACCTTTAAATGAAAATCTTAAAACTCTTAGGCAGAATTCAATGCCCCTTCTTTTTTGCATGTATTTCTACTAAACCACTCATTGCACAGTGAGGTTGTTGGTCTCACCCACTAGACAGTGAGTCCTGAGGACGAGGGTTCCAGCCTTGTCGTGTTGATAGCGCCTGGGCCCAGCAGAGTGCCTGGCACACCGAGTTAGCGGGCGTTTCCAAAATGGTGACAGGGTTTTCCTTGAGCGTCTGGTCTCCTGGAGCCTGTTTGACTTGCCTCTCCTCTCTTTACTCTGCCAAAGGTGTCCACAGAGCAGTGGAAACTTGTTCCTGTCCTCTCGATGAATGAGATAGGGCCCCTCACCACTAATGACGTTGGGGCCTGGCAGGCAGGTTTCTGGAACTGCAGTGATGTTCAGCATTGGCCACATGAGACACTCAGGAGGCATAGTTGTTATTCCTGCCATTTCCCAGGACTTGCTTCCTAAAATAGAATCATAGTATGTATTTCTAACTGTATATAAAGATAAAATGACACTGTAGAATATTTATACAATCAAGGAAAAAAACCCTGTAATTCATCTGTTTTCCCCTTCTGCATATTCCCTTCCAAGAGTGTCTATATTATACTGTATAGTTCGCATGTTTCTGGTTTTACTTAGCATTATATAAGTGAAAGTTCTCCATATTATACCCACTATTTTTTTAAAAAAATATATCTTTATTGGTTTCAGAGAGAGGAAGGGAGAGGGAGAGAGAGATAGAACATTAATGATGAGAGTCATTGATCGAGCCCGCAACCCGGGCATGTGCCCTGACCAGGAATCAAACCCCGATCGCCTGGATCCTAGGTTGACGCTCAACTGCTGAGCCACGCCCGGCCGGGCCCCACTATTTTTTTTAAACCATCCGTGTTTGCAGGTGCACATTCCATCAGGTTGTTAACTATGACCTGAATAACTTCTTCGTGTGCATTTTTTAACCTCAAAGCTGTAGCCTCTAAACCTAGTTTTACTGTTGCTTAAGGAAATCACAGCTAACACCAAGCTAGAGATGCATCAAAACATGGAAGACGAACTAAAGAGAGAAAACTCGGCCGTGGAACAACGCATGATCCACAGAATCCAAAGGATCCTGATGGAGTGCCACAAGGAGAAGACTGCGGCTGTGGAGAAAGCCAGGGCGGAGGAGAGGCAGTTCGCCCAGGAAGCCATCCAGGCGCAGAGAAGGTATTCCAGAGCACACGTTTGCAAATTAGTATCTTCCTCCATCAGAGTCAGCTTGGAGAAAGGAATAAGACTGAGGCACACAGGTGGCTCTTTCCCAGTTTTTGTGCTTTTACATTGTGGACTATATCAAACACAGAAAATATATAATGCATTGTAGAGTGCATGTGTGTGCGTGTGTGTGTGTGTGTAGTTTTAAAAAATAGCAGGAATACTCAAGGACTCAGCACCAACCTGAAGGGGTTGGAAATTGGTAAAACTTCGAAGCTCCTTGTGTTCTTCCTCAGTGACGTTTCCTTCCTCTCCTCCCTCTCAAAAGATAACCACTGTCCTAAATATTGTTTTTCATTCTGTATCCAGTTTTAAGAGGCTGAGAAGAGGAATCAAGAAATATTTTCCCCAAGATTGACAAAAGTCAATCTTTACATTTTTTTAGCCCATAACATACACTGTTGTGGATATGTTATGTTTCGGCCTTTTTCTTATTGCACAAGTAATACACGCTGTAGATGAAATTGACATTATGAAAATATATAGAGGAAATTTGCTAAGTCCTGATTCACTGCTTCCCTACCCCTCCCAGAGACAATCATTTTAAATAACGGGGTCTGTGTCTTTCCATGCCCTTTTGATGTATGTGCAGCCTTATTATACAGGGTGTCCCCCAAAAATGTATACACACTTTAGCAGCTGATAGCTCAATTTTGAAAATGAAATGTGTTTTAATAAACATTGTCTTTATAATTATTCAAAGTGTGTGTATACATTTTGGGGGGACACCCTGTATATGTGCATGATCACAAATAGTTTTTACATAAATCAGGTCATCTATTTTTTTTAAAGAATATTTGGTGGAATTAGCTAATTTTAACAAGACAGCAGTAAAGAGCCCTGGTGATTATCAGGACCAAGAGAAAGCCACAGATTCCACATGTTAAGTGACCTGCCCAAGATCACTTAATTGTAGCAACAGAACAAGACTAAAACCTCTGTATTTGGCCTCCTAGTCTAGGAATTACCTCTTTTGCTTTGCTCCTTGAATTAACAAACAAATCTATTTATATATAATTAACAGCTAAAGTCTTCCTTGTTAGAACTGAGCCAAAGGTAAAATCCTTTAGGATTCTTATTTTGCAAGTAAATAGGAATGAGGGCTGCAGCTGTGGCAGTTTCAGTGGTACCGCCCTTCTTGCATAGGTGGTCAAGATAGAAGAGGAAGGTGAAAGAAGATTTCAGGAGAGAATTAGAGAAGGTGGTAGCTCCCAAATGAATGTGGTCCGATGCCGTGGACAGTGGTGTCCTCTTCTCCCTGCTCCTCCCCGCCCTCCATCTGCAGGAGCTCTGCCCGTCCTGCAGGAGCCGGTGGGTTCACTCCTCACACACATGCAGCTCCTCCTTCCCTCACTCGGTTGCTTTTGCCCCTGTCCATTTTCTTTGTGAGGTTTGAATGAAAGATTTTCACTGGCGCCCTTTTATTGAATCAGTTGACTAAGATTAGGGACTTCCATGCCCGTTATTTAAGTGTATCCACTGGAATGTCCGTTTTGTTCATCGATGTGTTCCAAATGTCTGGAAGAGAGCCTGGCACATGGTAGGCATTCTTCAAATATTTATTAAACAAAGGTTCAAATTTGTTCCAGTCAGCTAAACCCACTCTGCAGCACACCAGAGCTTATTTCTAGACATTGCTAGATTCCAGTGTTCTTTAGAGCATTTGCAGAAACTAACATAGACAGGAAGACCTCTGTTTAGAATTCCACCTGTAGATCTTTTATTTGGCTGGAAACTTTCACTTAAGACGTAAGGATTCAGAACTCTTACATATTATGACAAATCTGTTAAATGCACAGAAAACTTTTCTGTGGATTGAGGTGATTAGATTCTAAACAGATTATCTAGGAGATACTAAAAAATATATATATTTTCTTGGAAAGGGTCTACACACAGAAGCATAGACCATCACTTCACTTAGGAAGTAGGGCATGGGAGGTCATTGAGTTGAACCTACCATCCCTTCTGCTGGATGCCTGTCAGGGGTTGGTGAGCCTCCTAAGTGCTACATGACAGGAATGTTATGGCTGGTGAGGTGGTTGGTTCAAATGCTGAATGCCTGCCCCTGTCATATGCTTCCTAAAGTGGATCCAAAATATGCTGAGTCTGTCCTCTATGCACAGAGATCCTTTGGGTAGTTGAGGAGAGAGATCCCTGCTTTAGTGTGAAGGGAAGGAAAACCTAAAATGTACTAGTAAACAAACCAGTTGCTTCAGTCCTTCCTCATATGATTTCTAGACTCACTTTTGGGGGGAAAATGTGGATAATTTATATAAATTGAAAAACATTTTATGTATATGACAAGAATTGACTATTTTCTTGTGGTGAGTATTTTGCTTATGCTGAGAATTCTGTTTAAGCATGACTCTTTTAGGCTTTTGTAATGCTCTAATTTAGCTGTTTTAAAATTTGTTGTTATTTGGCACAAAAAAAGTGTTGGGGGGGACTGCATATATTATTTATTACCCATTTATTCATTCACACATTTATTGGTTGCCTGTTTTATACGCACCAGGCACCATGCCAGGCAGGGGAGATACAAAGATGAATGGGCACTCCAGGCCATCTGCCACCACATGCTCCATGCCCTGCACCCACCTCCCTCCTGGCTTCAATTCCACAACTTCACAGAAATCATCAGAATAAAAGTCAGATACTTCCTGACCTTAAACCAAAAGGAGTGAATCCCAAAGGGTCAAAAATTCAAGCCCTACAGCAGGTTGGGAAAGTTGGAAAGGGCATTCTAAAATATACATGTATATATACCATATCCTCTTAGCAAGAACAGATTTTGATAGTAAGGCATTTAAAGGGGTTATATCATGGAGGGTAGGAGTTGGAGTCATCTAAGATGCCCTTTATGTGAGCAGTTTTACTGGAGATCACCTCTGGTGGAGCCTTTGAGCCAGCCCCATAGATGAACACCTCCTCTGTGTGGGCCAGGAGAAAGCCAGGCCAACCTGTCTTGCTGGTGACAGAGCTGTAGCTCTGGAGAAGGAACAGAATTTCCTCCTTGGGGATTTGGGGCTGGCTCAAGGAAGCTTCCTTCTAGTTCCTTCTATCTAAGCCCCAGGTCATCACCTTCACAATCTTACCACCATATTTCATAAAACATCAGACTAAACCCTAAGGGTGTGTGTGGATGCCCATTGTTCATGCTATCACTTCTATCAATGGCACCTGTGACCCAGGCTGAGCACGGGGAAGTTGGTTTTGTTCCCTCTTCTTTCTGCCTCCACTGTCCCCCAGCAGTCATAAACTCTGACACTGATGACTGTGTAATATTTCTTGGATTTATCTGTGTCTCTCTTCCTATTTCTTTTTCTTTCATCATGAGCTCAGACCCTAATCTTTGCACACTCAGGATATTGCAAAATAGTATATAAATTGGTCTCTTTACTGTATCCCATTAAGATTCAATTTACCCAATATTGCCAGAATAACAATTCTAAAACATTATTATTATAGTATTACCCCCTCCCCCTCTGATATAAAATTTGTAGTGGCCTCTTACATGATTGAAGTGGGTAATGGTGAAGGGCAGGAGCTGTCCCACTTCCTCAATTGTATGACATTGAACAATAACTAGATCTCTAAGCCTTAATTTCCTCGCCTGTAACATGGGAATAATAAGAGGTAATGAATAAAAATCATACCAGCTTCAGTGGGTTATTGTTAAAATTAAATGGAATGGAATGCATGTGAAATGCTTGGCATAGTCCCTGGGACACGGTAAGTAAATAAAGGTTAATCCTTCTTATTAGTGATGGATATAGCCTAGTTGGTGGGAAAAGGAAGGGGAGAAGTAGCATAGCAGCTAGAGAGACTAAGGGCAAATGGTGTTTACCTCAAGACTGGGGAAGTCTGTCTTGTTTGAAAGTCAAGTTTAAAGATCAGAGACAATGAGAGAATTAATTGCATCTTGGAGGACAGAATTTAGAAAAAAGGCGAGGTGGTGAGTCTTGGAAAGACTATATTAGACTTGGAGGCATAGGGGGAGTGTGTTTAGTAATAACCATAAATATTTAAATCCGACATTTGTAGGTGTTTCTAAATTCTCAGATCTTTAGAGGTTCTACTAGGTTAACCAGAGCCATGCCTCTGACTCGCATCACAGTGGCTGAGAGCTGCTGGACGAGACTGCCAGGCTTGTGGTGCTCATTTTGCCACTTTGACTGATTAAATGAAAGCAATCAAGTGACTTGATCTCTCTGAGCCTGTTTCCTGATCAGTCAAATAAGCATAAGAATAGGCCCACCTCACAGAGTTGTTTTGAGGAATCATTAACTTAATAAATCTGCACAGGATGCTCGTTAACCTGCCTTGCACATGGTAAGAATTCAGTAAGTTGGCTGCTATGAATTATATGTAATTACATACGTTGTAACCGCAGGTCTGTGAACTGGTTCAGCAGTGGTTCTCAAAGTGTGGTCTTCGGACCCCTTTGGGAGGTCCATGAGGTCAAAGCTATTTTCTTAATAATGCTAAGATGTTATTTACCTTTTTACACTCATTATCTCATGAATATATAGTGGCATTTTCCAGGACTTTATGATGTGTAATATCACAACAGATTGAAACAGTGAAAATCCAGCTTTTTTTTCCTGTTAAGCCAGAAGGTAAAGAGTTTTGCAAAAAATGTAAAATTATGCCACTTTTGTTACCAAAAGTTTTTTTGATTTGGAAAACATACTTTTCATAAAAGTTATGTTAATAGTGAATGGATTTGTTGATACTTTATATTAATTTATAAATATTTTTGTCTTACTTTTAATTTCTAATACTGTTAGTATCACTAGATATAACCCATATAAACAAAAGTTCCTTGGGTTCCTTGGTCATTTGAAGAGCAAAAAGAGGTGTCCAGACCAAAAAGCTTGAGTTGACTGTCATAGAGTATTACTCAGATAAAATCAAAACTAGGGCTAAACCTAACCTGTGAGTACAGTTTTTTCCCTTCTGGCTAAAGGTAAGTAGCTGGATTGGTACACAGAAATATTTTCTCCAGGAGTTTGGAGCTCTGACCCTGTTTCTTCATTTTTAAGCACACTGCACTTGCATTTTTCTGGCCAAGGTGGACTCGGGTTCCTAAAGTTACTGCCGGACACTAGACTGGTGGCTACTCCTTAGCCCATAGTGGGGAAATCCATGGACGACCTCCCTGCTCTAAACAATGTTTTTTGCTAGCAGCTAATTGAATCCAGAAGCTCCTCTCTACCAGCCTGTCTCAGCCTAGTATCTCACCTAAACAATGCAATATGCCCTAGCCGGTTTGGCTCAGTGGTTAGTGTCGCCTTCAGCCTGAAGGGTCGCAGGTTCGATTCTGTGTACCTCGGCTGCAAGCTCGATCCCCCAGCCCCGGTCGGGGCGCATGCGGGAAGCAACCAACTGATGTGTCTCTCTCACATGGATGTTTCTCTCTTTCTCTACCCCAACCCCTTCCACTCTCTCTGAAAAGCAATGGAAAAAATATCCTCAGGTGAGGACTAAAAAAACAAAAACAAACAAAAAAACAACAGCAATGCAATAAGTTCTCATACAGCCGTGCTGAAAGACAAAATCCTTTTGTTTTTAGTGGCTAATCCATCTAATCTATAAACCCATGTTATCTTTTGTAGGAAGGTCATGGATGAATTTATGTATGCTGGTGTGAGTGTTGTTAAGGATCAGAAGAAGAGTAAGATCGAAACGGTAAACAAAAAAGAAAGCGAAAAGAGCATCTATTGCCTGGCTCAGAGGCAGAAGCAGGAAGAATTTCAGGAAGCGCTGCAAGAAGCAGAGAAGACACATCAGGCCACACTTGAAACTGTGATGGATAAACTGGCTAACACTCAGGGGGAGCTGCTGTCCATAGCGGAACAACTGGGAATTATGACAAATTGGAAAGATTTCCTGGAGGAGGAATTACAAGAAACGAGAATGGCGTTTCAAAAATACATCGATTACACGTTTCCTAACCTTTCACCAGGGCATGCAGATTTTATTCTGCCAGAAAGAAAGAAAATACCTTGCAATTTTGTTATTCAGACCGAAACAACTCATAATTAGATGTCTTCAACTGAAATTTCACTACAAAAGACATTGTTCCAAAGACTAAATAAATCCATTCGAAAACCATTTATTGATCCCTGGTTGTTTGCAGGGTACTATTGGGCTGTGAGCATTTTGATGGGAAACAAAAATATTCAAAAGCACGTTCCAGGCTTCAGTGAGTTCCAAGTTTGAGGAGAGAGAAGAGTGAGAGCAATCGAAACCAAGTAGGAGGGAAAAAAGGTTTCTTGGAAGAAGTCTAAGCACTTCTGTATCTGGCTTTATTCATGTTTCATCAGACAACTATGTTAGTGTTTGTTGCAGTTGAGAACAAGTAAAGGGACATGTTTTTAGACCATTTCCATTGTGGACAGGTGCACTAACTTCCAGTAGAGAGGTTACTCGGTGAACTGCAATAGCACTGCAGTAAAAAAACAACACAATTTCCCTCAAATTCAATAGGATAAAATTTAAATTCTGGGAACCCTGTATAAAATAATTCATAAGGGACTCACGTACATTTGCCATTTGTGAAAACTGTGTCTTTAGGGGACAGACTCCCTGTCTCGGGGATGGAGAGTCCTCTTGTGTTTATACCCAAGCCCAGGAGTTCTTTGAATTCATCTCCTTTGGCTCAAAATGCAGAAAGCTGTTAAGCACCACAATACTCAGGACCAACACTTGTCAATGTCTGTTAAATTAAAGTGGAAGAAAACCCAAGCCGTAAAGACCTCCCAAATCTATCCACTGTAATGTAACATCCTTAAATTATTCATCTCCAACCTATATTGGTGGCTTTAAAATTAATAACTTGGAAAGCAGTTTCCAGTAAATTAAAAAGTTCTATTATTGAGCACGACTTAGGTGGATTTGTTTCCATTGACCAGTCGGGTATTTTAATGGGAAAGCAACAATTCGTTTACAATTGTATAATGGACTGCACTCTCCTCTGCATTTAGCTCTCTGATAGTGCAGGACTACTGCAATCTATACTAATTGGCTGCCTGGGAACTGGAAGTGACGTTTATATAGTGCTTTACACTGCTTTTTTCATGTACATTCTTCTCACAACAATCTATGAGAGGATAGCAGTGGTTATCCCATTGTTTATAGATGATAAAATTAAAATTACTATGTACTAAGGTATTTACATGTGTGAAACACTTTAAAAACATTAATACTTAACCCTCACAACCACTTTTGAGAGTAATTATTATTGGCTTTACTGACACTGAGTAGCATGAAAAGAAAACAGGCACCTTAGTTTTGGTTTGGAAAAAGGAACCTAAATTAGTCTTCAGCTAAATTGGAAGAAGTTACATAGTCCTTGTTTTTAGTACTTTCCTTGTTCATACTCCAGTCCCTGCTCCCACTCCAATCCCAACCACAGTGTCCTTAGGGTTTTCAAAGTAACTTGGATGCTTTTGCAAGTTGGATATCTTGTTACTGTCCTGATCCCAGCTTGACCCCCAGGAGGACTCACTGCCCACTGGAGGACTCTCACCCACTCCTCCACGCTGCTAATCACCCCTCATACCATAGAGATGATCACAGGGGATCCTCTCAGGACAGTCTGACCCCCTTGTGGCCTGGAGTTAGCACTCACCATGGGGGGATGGTGTCTTTTTTCAGTTCTCCTCACTCAGCTTTAACTCTCCCAAGGCCAAATTAAAGAAACATCATCTTTGTTCTTACCCAAATCTTTCCCCTTGATTTGATCACCTCAAATATTTCCCAGATAATATACCCCTGAGAATTAAAGTTCAAAATGGATAGATAATTTGTCCTAAGGGGCAGAAAAAGCTGATAATAGGCTAAAAATGAGACCTCACTTCTTTTTCCACCATCCCATTCTGTGGGGCCTCTCTGTAGTCCCTTGTTTTCTTTGGCACTGATAAAGATGATCCTGATGGGTTAAAAAAACAAACACACACACCACAATGGGAAATATAACAATGACAATTTATTGAGCATCTACTATATATATCATATTGTATTAGATTCCTTACTAAACCTAGTCTCATTGAAATCTCACAGCAACCCTGTAAGATACTTATATTAGGAAACAGACTCAGAGAAGTAAAATCACTTGCTGAAGATTACAAACTTGTTTGAGGAGCCCATGTGTTTTCACAACTATAGCACATCAGCCCAATTTAGTCCCTGTATAAACACCGAGTAGGTGTCAAGGATGCACTGCTTCCAAAATACATTGGAACTGTAGGCAGGCAGTTCTGAGTTATTGTGAAGAATCCTAACTCTTCCAGTGCACATGGGCTGGGAGCCACGGATGAAGGGGAGCAGAACTGGACAACCTTCCCTGAACGTGCTTGATGAGCTGTTCATGCCAAGCCCGGGGGTGAATGTATAGAGGGGCCTACCCTTTAGCTCCCTCCCACCATTCTAATGTCCAGAAGGACAGAGTCCCCTGGGGGTCCTGGAGTTCGATTGCCTGTAGCTCAAAGGTGAGAATTCCAAAGTCAAGTAAAAACTGAAAGTGAGGTATGTTTTTGAAATCTCAATGGGGACTTTAGAATCTCTGCATTAAGAATAAGAAGCCCACTTACCTGTGTCCTGTCAGGCCCCATACCTGGTGTACAGCTACAGGAATTACAGAGCGTCTCAGGGAAATGGGCCAGGCTTGCAAACCCAGATCTACTTCATTGATACAAACAGTGATGATAGGAGCATCTAGAAGGAATACTTGAGTGTTTTTAATCTCTGTTTAGCCAACTGCCTAAATGAGTTTCTGAAATGCTTCAAATACATTGTTTTCACTAAAAATGCCCCTCAGCCCTGGCCAGGTGGCTCAGTTGGTTGCAGCAGCATCCCGGACACCGAAAGGTTGTAGGTTTGATTCACGGTCAGGGCACACACCTCGGTTGCAGGTTCCATCCCCTGTGGGGCAGCATGTGGGAGGCAACCGATCGATGGGTTTTTTTCTCTCTTTCCCCCACCTCTCTCTCTAAAAATCAATGAAAACATATCCTCACGTGAGGATAAAAACAAACAAAAAAATGCCCACCATGCTATGATAAACCTTAAATGTGCACTTAACTGTTTACTTGCGCGAGGAGCAGGGCGAGAGTTGAGAGAGCTCAGGGAGGGCCTTGGGTGTTGAAGGCTTACGCTGAAGAGGGGAAGGGCACCCTCGGGCGGCTTTTATCAAATGACAAGCCAACTGTGCTCACAACCACATTTCTGAAGAGCAGTCATCTCTTCCCGGAGACCAGGAACCCTGCTTGAGGATGGTGTCGCACACGTCCGCCTGTTTCATCACAGAGGCTGCCTCCGGGGCCTGTGGGAGGGACCCTGACACTCCTGGTAGACGTCAGGGCGGCTTCAGGGACGCGGGTTTCTGCAGAGGGAGGAGCTGGCTGAGGAGACGGGAGAGGCGACTGCCACCCTCCCCCTGGACGCGCCTGCACAGGTTCCCCTCCATCGTCCCAGGGCAGGGCCTCCAGCTTCCTTCGGGACTCTCTGTCCGACATAATCTCCATGTAGTATTTCTGCCCCCCAGTATTTATTTCTATTTAAACATAAAGAGTCCTAGAACAGAGAGGGGAAAAAAGGATTGTCATTTTAGAAAAGGTCAAAAGGACAGGTTATAATATCTTTAAAAGGAAATATGAAAAAGTTTGTGTTTGGGGGAGAAATTACTGAATTTGAAAAGAAAAAAAGCAGTAGCTTTTTAAAGGAAATGGCTTTTGAATTTTAACAAAATTATTTTATGTTGCTAAGAGATCTGAGCTAAAACTATACTGCTTTTCTTCCTGAGTAAGTGATACTCATCTTCCAAAGGACCTCTCTGGTCATCCTACTGTCGCCTTGGCAGAAGGTCGGAGACATTAGTGGATCAGATGTCTTTAGTCTTAATAAAGCACCAATTACATTTTTAAACAAATGATTATATAATGTATTTCTACTTTCTCTGTAGAGATGGGCACTTCCAAAAAAGTATCATTAACCATATTGCCTTTCAATTATAAATGGATTCAAATGTAATTTATTCCAGGATGTCACATCTTATGACCCATTGCAGAGAAATAAATAATTTGGAGTGTTTGGGATTACTGGAATTTGAAAGTAAAACCGGCCTTGAGGTCAAGTAATAGTTCTGCAAAACCTAAAGCCATCTTAAAGGTCAGTGTCAGATTCATAGTCCTGTTTGCCTGGTCCTGCCGTGACTGCAGTGCTTGAATGAGTGCTGATGGCAGATGTTTTTTATTTTTCCCAGAATTATGACTTCAGGTAGAAAAACACCTAGCAGTGGCATATCCATCATTACATCATAAATCCTAAGGTAAAACCTGGTACTAACTAAGGAAAGTGATTTGACTCCTAAATGGAATAAAAATAGAAATGAAAATATTTTAAAATTGAATTTTTTCAGATCTTAAATAGGGAATTTAGGCTGGAGATGGTAAATCTATGGTGTTCAGTCACTGTGCTAGGTTCTTGAGAGATTTATCAGTGGGAGATGATGGATTCATAAACAGCAACAATGAGAACACAATGCCAAATCTGGGGAGTGCCCAGTGGAGGCATTAACAAAACGGTGTGGGAGTTCAGAGAAATGTAATGGCTAGTCTTGACCTGGGCCTTGAAGGACCAGTCCAATCCTTGTGGCAGATGTGGTAAGAAGAAGGTAGGGTAATTTAAGCAGATAACTTTATGAGGAAGGGCACAGTCAGGAAAATACTGTACTCTGGTGTGGTACAGAAGGGGGGTCATGAGAAATAAGGCTGGAAAGCGAGATCGGAGTTAATCATCAAGGCTCTCCAACGCCATGCTAGAGATAGAGGAATTTATCTGCTAGGCAATAACATGATCATGAGCATCTTTAAAATGGACTAGAGAAAGGTGTCCACAGGAAAATCAGAAAATAAAGAACTGATTCAACCGAGTGATACTCCAAATTCACCATGCAGGAAGCTCTTTGGTTCAATCAAGAGATGCTTGCCTGCTCAGAAAAAATAGGGTGAAAGCTTTTTACTGTCACTATCCATTTTTGTAACTGGATCACTGTTTCCTAATGGGGTTTTGAAAGGACCTAAGGATTAACAAAATAACGCATGTGAAAGAGT